ATCATACCACAATGATATATGTGTACCCATGTTTATAGTAGCAGAGTTTGTAATAGCTAAAACTTGGAAGCAGCCCAAATGCCCATAAACTGGAGACTGGATCAAGAAAATGTGGGGTTTTTTTTTTATAAAATGGAGTACTAGTCCGCCATAAAAAATGAAAAATTAGAGGCATTTATAGCTATATGGATGCACATTGAGGCGATACTCTTAAGTGAAATAAATATGATACACATGTGTAAATACCAAATAGTTTCTCTAGTGTGAGAAATTGAAAGTGTAAATAAGGACTGAAAGGTATAATAGATAATGTGAAATAGGAAGAAAAGGGGCAAATAGGAAGGGGGAGTGGGAGGGCTAGGGGAAAGGAAAGAAGGGAATGGAATTAATATGAGAAAGAAAAAATGGAAACAAAGTCTTTGTAAATAGGGAGGGATGGAGGGGTTGGAGGGAGGGCAGGGGAAGGGGGAAAAATAAGAACCAAGAGAGATTATGTAAAGGTGCAAATATCCAATAATGAATGTCATATTGTATACCTAAAATGTACCAATAAAATAAAATTTTTTAAAAAACAGATGGGAAAGATTTTCTCCCATTCTGTAGGCCAGATTTTTACTCTATTGGTTCTTTCCCTTCCTGTATGGAAACTTTAATTTGGTGTGATTTCATCTGTTGATTTTCAATTTTATTTCCTATGCAATTGAAGTTCTGTTTAATAAAACATTTCCTGTACTTATGACTCCAAGTGTCTCCTCTGTTTTCTTCTTGTAGTTTCAAAGTTTCAGGTCTGATACTATTATAGACAGTTAAGTTAGATAGAAATTAATATACAGTCAGAGAGTGCTTGGGCCTTCAAGGAAGTCAGCACAAAAAAGTAGAAATGTCAGAGTTATGGCTGGAGGCAAATCTGAAGAAAGACAGACCTCAGGATAGAGAAGCCATAACAAGATCAGCATGCTTTCCTAGAGACAAACAGCAGCCTGAGGCTGTATTATAATTAACTCAGATAGGTATTAGATTTGAAGGTGGGTGACCAGAACACCTGGACCCACACTCCCCTTCCTTTCCAAAAATTCTTTGATCTTTTCATGTACTTTTGCTATGTGACTCTTTTCTGTATTGGATCAATATTAACTAGATCGCTGTACCTGAAATCCTGTAGTTTGATTGTAGTTGGACCCATGCTGTACCCACATTGTGATTTTGCTATATAAATTACTCCAACAAAGAGCCTCAGTGGCCACCCTTTTGGGATCCATGCTGGAAATCCAGGAGCTATTCTTCTCTTTATTTCCAATAAAACTCTCATAATGGTACCAGGAAATGATATCAAAGATGAAATATGAAATATTCCATCTCCCAACCTGTTAGATGTCTGATATGCAGAGCTCATGTTCTCTAAAATTCTAAGAATGAATTCTAGGAACAATGAAGGTTAAGAGTAGGAAGATATTTACTGATACAATAGCTTCTGAGAGGCAGGAGGGGTTCCCAAATGGGTAGCCAGGACCCCACTCTGTATAGAAGTTTTATGGAGTAAAACCTACGTGGGTACAGCGTGGGCCACAGCCATGATTAGTCAATAAGGTTACAAGTAATAGGTAATAGTGGTCTAATTGGGAAACAAGTCATGTAACAAATGTGGATGGAAAGAACAAAGACTTTTTCTAGGAACTGGTGAGTCTAAAGGTCTCTGGTCACCCACCAGGGTGCTTGATGTCTATCTAGACTTCATTAGGCTCAGTGTTTGTCCTTTGAGGAAGTATACAGGTCTGGTCATCTTGTCTTTATCTTGAGGCCCAATGTCTAACAGATGTGTCTCTGTCTGCAGTTGTGGTGTGTTTCACCTTTGTCTTGACTCTCAAGGACCCAGCCCTATCTGACTGCCTATAATATTTACCTAGCTCAGCTCCCTGTAATACAAACTTCCTCTTTTGATTTGCGACTTCATTTCTTGATGTTGTGAGACCATAAACTCGACATATATGACATCTAATGGGTCAGGAATTCTATTTTTCCTGTACCAACACCAAGGTCTTTGGTTCATTTTATATTGATTTCTGTACAGAGTGAGAGATAGGAATCTAGGTTATGTCTTCTACATGTAGACAATTGTCCCAGCACCATTTGTTAAAGAATCTGTCTTTTCTCCAATGTATGTTTTTCACTCCTTTGTCAAGAATCAGATGGCTGTAGTTGCATGGGTTTGTTTCTGCACCATATTGTATTTTTTTTAAACTATGGCTTTGTAGTATAATTTGAAACTATGTTTTTGTTTATTTGTTTGTTTTTGTTTTTTCAGACTGGGTCTCCCTACGTAGTTCAGGCTGGCCTTGAACTCACTATGTAGCCCAGGCTGGCCTGGACCTTGTAGATATCTGCCTGCCTCAGCTTCCTGAGAACAGAGAATACAGGGATGTACCACCATGCCCAGTTGAAACTGTATTGTGATACCTCCAGACTTCCTTCGGATTGTTTTGGCTATACTAGATTTATTGTGTTTCCATATAAATTTTAGGATTGTTTATTCTACTTCAGTGATGAATGTCATTGGAATTTTTGATGGGGATTACACTGAATCTATAGAACACTTTTAGCAATATGATCAGGATTAATTCTTCTAATCCATGAACCTGGGAGGACTTTCTATCTTCTAGTGTCTTCTTGAATTTCTTCACTCTTATAATTTTCACTGTAGACATCTTTTACCTTTCTAGCTAGGTCAATTCATAGGTCTTTCATTTTTTTAAGCTACTGTGTATTTCTTTTTTTTTTTTTTTAGCGGCACCAGGGATCGAACTTACGACCTTGTGCTTGCAAGGCAGGCAACAGCACCACTGGGCTAAATCCCTGACTCCCTAAGCTACTGTGAATGGAATTATCTTCCTGATTTCTTTCTCAGAAAGTTCATTTTGGGAGTTATTAAAAAGTTGTTAATTTTTTGAAGTTGATTTTGTATCCTGCTGAGCACTTTATATAGTTTATTTTGAATCAGAGTCTTACTAAGTTGCTCAGGGTGGCCTCAAAATGCCATCCTGTAGCCTTAACCACCTCTATTGCTGATTTTATAGGAGAGGATGGGGGGGGGGGGCTCTGGTTGGAAAGACAGCAGCTTACCCCAGACCAGCCACGTTGGAATCTGCATTTGAAGGAGATCCCAGGCATCTCACTGCATAACTGGGAAGCACTATTGCTGAGTCAGTGGGCCCCAGGCAACAGAATCACAAAGCCTGGGGAGGTGGGAAGGTTGTGCAATATCAGCTCCTCCCCTTCTTCAGTTCCCTCCTCCCATCCTTTCCCATCTTCATCTTGTATAGGATAAATTTTGCCTTTCCCCAGCTCTCAGGAATCCTCCACTCTCTCCACTCTCTCGGTCACCAAGATGCACCGGCTCAGCCTCTCTGCAGTTCTCCTTGTCCTCCTGGTCACCTTGGTGGCCAGCACCCAGGAGAGAGGAACCAGTGCTCCTTCCCAAGGTAACTCCTGACTCTCTCCTCTCCCTGGTTAGTGGGAGAGGCTGAAGAAGCATGGGTAGGCTTCGGGTGGAAGCAAGCCTCTCTCTCTGGATCTTTTATTGGGAAATTAGAAAGTTTTAACTCCAAGGACATTTCATGACTAAAAGATTGATTGTACCAAATGCTCATCAAACAGTTCTGCCAGATCGTGGACCCCACCTTTGAGTTTTTCTCTATTCTTGGTCTTTGACCATCCTGGGTCACAGTTGGCTCCCTAAACATATGTGGCATTGATACTAGACTTTGGGGCCCAAAGCTCTGACTCCACGGCTCCCCATAGACCAGACTCAATAAAGGAGATGAACAGTAGTGAAGAGCAGGAAAGGAGCTTTAGTCAGCATGGCCATGCTGGGAAGCACTGATGTAGTCAAGATCTGTTTTTTGGAGGCAGACAGAAGTTTTGAGGGTTTAGAGAAAAGGTGAAGAAAGGTAAGTGTTTGGCATAGCTGGCAATGGAGGTAAACCAGGTCAAGTTTGGTCCTGTTGATCAGTCTCAGATTGGTTTCCTGAGGTTTGAGAGCCCATCATCCTTCTAGGGAATAATTTGATTGTTACTGAGATGAAGGCTCCTGGGGGGACATAATTGCTCCCCCTTGATGGGTGACCTCATCAGCGAGTGGTCAGAAGGGTCTACTTTTTCTGGAACCTGAGGTGATTACAGATTGAGGACAAATTCAGAGACTTTCAGGCATGGCTTCTGGAGGTCTCCATATGGATTTTGTGAAAGCGGGCAATTGGATGCTCTTGAAAATCCTGAAAATTATTTTGTTATTCTTGTCTTGGTGTCCTCAGTCTTGAAAGGGAATGCAATAGGCTAGGTAAATTTAGGGTTAAGAAACCTTGTATTATTACTCCTTAATTGATTAACATGCCTTCAGGCAGAGCTGAGCAGGGATGTGATCCCACATTTAAGGTAATAAGGGAGACATATAAAAATGAAAGTAGCCCTACCAAGGGTTATTTGCTCTTAGTTACTCATTGAGCATCTGCATGTCCAACTCCACATTCCTGATACAAAACATGATTTAAAAATAAATATCTGGTCTTTGTCCCCATCTCTGGAATGATATATCTGAAACTCTAGGCACTTACTATCGTCCACATGCTTAGTTAGATGACTGGAGGCACTGGTCCTAGAGGCAGAGACTATTGTCTGATACACGAATCAGGCAATTTGAAGGCTAAAATTTTCCTCCCTACTTTCTTGACCCCCTGGGAGGGGAGTGGACCACAGGAACTGAGTTCAATCACCAATGGTTGTGTAATCACGCTTCTGTAATGAAACCTCAAGGAAACCCCTCATGGTGGATCTGGAGCACTTCCAGGTTGGTAAACATATAGTTGTACTGAGAGAATGACACACCCCAAATAGGAAATGGGCCACCCTGTTTTCTGTACCCTGTGCATCTATTTGGGCAATTCCCGTATTGTGTTCTTTATACCAAAGAGTAACACTAAGCAAAGTGCCTTAATTTGTTATTTATTGATTTATTTGTTTATTTATTTTTGTAATGCTGGAGCTTGAACCCAGGTTTTCTGCACTGAGCTACATCAGCAGGCTTTAATAATTTTTTTTTTTTAATTTGAAACAAGGTTTCGTTATGTCTTCTTGCCTACGCTGGGCTCCAACTTGTAATCCATCTGCCTGTGCTTCCCAAAGTGCTAGGATCACAGGAATAGGCCACACACTAGACTTAAAATGCCTTCTTGAGTTCTGAAATTGTTCTAGAGAATTGGCAGTGGAACTCCAACATTTATATACCTAGTAAATTAAACTTAGGAGTCACTCCTGGAACTTGCAGCTGGTATCTGATGAGACAGCTGGCTCAGAGTCATTCATTTTTCTACCTTAGGTCAAACACCCATTGAGTGTCAGGCCTGAGAGCTGAGAGAACATGTAATCAAGAACCATTCCATAATGGTTCTTGGGCAATAAATGAAGCTGGGTGGGCAGCAATGGAATCAAAGGGATTAGGGTCTATGAGGAAGCTGAGGATGGGGCTCTGGGGTCCACATCCACAGACCTAACAGATTTTATTTAAAAGTGAAGTCTTCTGCTACAAAGAATGGACAGCCACACTCCCCTAGCATGATTTTATTCTTCACCAAATTGGGATATCACCAGACAAGGTATCCAACATTAACAAACAGTGTTTTCCTCCCTATTCCTCCATGACAGCATGATCAATTAAAGGAAATTTCTTTAAACAATTGAAACTTGCAAAGATACAAAAAATAAAGAGAATGGCTTAATAAAGCTCCATGTACCCAGTATTCTACAATTGATGACATGGAGAATACTAAATATGTGTATCTTTCTACTATTTTTTTCAATTTGTTTATATCCTGGAGTTCTGAAACATCAAATCTCAGGCATCACCAATTAATGACGCATAAATACTTCAGCGGGGAATGTAACTTTTTCTTTTTTTTTACAATATCATGGTATAGCGAACAAAATTAACCTGAGTTCGATCACCGGCACCAAAAAAATAAATAAATAATGTCCAGAAAGCAAGCTATGAGATAGAGGGTTCGCACTTCCAGCTCCCTCCCAACTTTTCACTGGACTCATGGTTGTTTCCATTGTTTGCTGTGTAGACTGTGCTGTGTGACCATCATCCTAGCTGACCTCAGACTCCCTCTTGTCTCCGCAGCCCCGCCACCTGCTTTCTGCCTGGACCCTCCCTACACGGGTCCCTGCAAGGCTCTGTTTCCCAGATTCTTCTTCAATGCCACCTCCAGGCTCTGTGAGAAATTTGTATATGGTGGCTGCAGAGCGAAGCAGAACAACTTCCAGAACAAGGAGCAGTGTGTCCAGACTTGTGGTAAAGCTGGGAACTCTGAAAGGGAAGGCTTGGGGGAAGGAGAGGAGTGTAGGGTTCCCACACACCTCCCAGCTGCACAGTGACTCTGAGGTTGAGGCTCTCTTGACTTCAGGGATGAAGTGGCAGGTGTCTTATGAACCCACAGACTGAGCACAAGCTCTTCTTGGAGCTCGGTAGGAAGTCACTGTTATAAGTGCCCTTAACATGATCTGAGTGACCTCACCCATGCCCCTTTTCAGAGGGGAACACAGAGGCAGCCACTCTGCACAGCAGACCTGAAATTCTCCTGTGCTTTCACCACTCAGGTTTGGTGAAGTTATTTCATTGCTGTCTGTCCCCTGGCTTCAGGGAGGACTGCAGTTGCTCATTTCTGGGGTGGTCTAAGATCTATGATGGTGTACAGGGTCCAGGTCAAGGATAGGATCAATGACAATCAGCAAGTTTATTTTTTCTTTAGCAAAGATGCCGACCTCTATGCTGCCTCAATATGCTGAAGTCTGAGCCCCCTAAAACACTACAATCATTTTCCAATGGCAATAACTATTCTTCCAGACTAGTATTTAGTCTGCTAAGTTCATCCCCTTCTCTGCTTCTTTCTCTTGATGTCCATCCCAGCAGACCCTGGCTCTTTCTTCTCCTCAGGTTTTACTTGTTTAAGCACTGTTTAGCCATACACTCTTAAGCACCACAAGAACAAGAACTGTATTTCTTTGTTTTTCTCATCACTTTGTCCCCAGCATGTTACACAGTTCTTGACACCAAGGTGACAATCCATAAATATTTGTGGAATGAATAAATAAGTGCATCTCATCTGCATAGGACTGACTACAGAGCGAGGATATCAAAGCCAGGACTCTAGACCTAATCATCATCTGGACTTCATCCTGCCTTCATCCTCCTCATGCTTCCATGTGGGTGTAGAGGTGGGGTTTCTGGCATCCAATTCTGAGTTTCAATCACATGGAGCAGTGGGAGCAAGGACACTTTCACAAAGACCTCGTGCAACTACTGTGATATTGTACATTTGTTCTGTCTTTCTCTCTGGCCTGATACACAAACAACTTGAGTTATGACGGAAATTTTAGTTTTAACTTATGACCAAAGTCTCGAATTATGACCTGAAAGCTGGCTGCTTATGCTTCCAGATGGTCTCAGATACAGATTTAACCCCTAAAGAGATCTGGCAGGAACATGACAACATCCTTTCCTGTGTGGGTTTAATTGAGAAATCCTGGGCAATGTCTCTCTAGACACTGAGATCTGTCTGGAAGAAAGTGTGGCCTAAAATTATACAGGAGAGAGACTTTGAAGGCTGTGTAGAGGAGCCTGAGTTTTCAGTTGACCAACTGGAGTTATAACCAGGCCTTCTGAGTGATTTGAATTTGTACATCAAGGATCCACTGTACATTTATTTCCTTCCTCCCTTTTTGTTCCTTGCTTCTTTCTCTTCCTCCCTCCCTTCCTTCCTTCTTTCCTTCCCCCCTCTCTTTCTCCCTCCCTTTCCTCTGTGTGTGTGTGTTTTCTGTGTTGGCAATTGAACTTCAAGTCTAGAGCTAGAGCATGCTAGGCAAGTGATCAACCAGTGAGCTACATTCTCACCCAAGGCATTCATTTTGTGATTAAACTAAGCAGACTAGATTCTTTTGTTTGCGACTTCAAACTTTATTTGACACCATCCACAAATATGGTAGTATTTCCCATTGTCCTGGAGGGCTGAGAACTTCCTTTTCCTTCTTGCAGACTGTACCAAACCAGTGACAGGAAGTAAACCCATGACTGTGGCATCTAGGTCTTGATGCCAAGCTACACAAAACCTGGGTGACCCTGTTACAGTTGAATGGGCCAATAATAGTCAGGTTCTTGTGTACAATGAAGAAAGTATTGCCAAGGATACAGCCCATAGTATGTAGTAAGCAGCTATGCTCATGAAGATAATAGGATGTTATGCCCAGGGCTAGTCTGTGCCACCAAATGTATAATACAGATCAAGAAATGTGCTAGAGCACCTGAAAAGCACGGCACACAGGTCAAAAGTAGCAACAGAAACAGAAAGCGGGGGCTGATAACTCAGGATTTCAGAATTCAAAGTCCAAGCACCTCTGTTTTAGGTGCCTCTCATTGACTCTCTAGGTGTGATTGACAGGAGAGTGCTGAGTCATCTTGGGCCCTCTTAGCATGCATGCTTTCTTAGAATTCACTCTGATATTAATTACATTTAGGAGCCTGTAAGGAGGTGGAAATGGGATAAAAATGACCAGAATGTCAGACAGGAAGAGCCAATGCACTTGTGCTCTTGTCTAGGGCATGGAAGATATCCTAAGCTTTTTGTTATTTTATTTTCTACCTCTCTTAGGACAATGGAACCAGGAATAACCCTAGGGTGCCCTTTTGAATTAATAGAGGGAAGACAGTGACTTCTCAACTCCATTGTTTCTAACTTTACTAAAGATGTATAAAGCAGGTTTCAAGATTCCCTGTCAAAATTCCATTATTCTGTTGTCTACAAGGTAGCCAATATTAACAAATAGCATGGTTTTGTCCCTATTCTTCTATGACATCATGATCAGTTAAAGGAATTTTCTTTAAGTAATTGAAACTTGCGAAGATGCAAAAAGTAAAGAGAATGGCTTAATAAACCTCCACATATCCATTACTAAACTACAATTATTGACATGGAGAATACTAAATATGTGTATCTTTCTACTATTTTTTCAATTTGTATCCTGGAGTTCTTAAAATCAAATCTCAGGCATCACTCAATTTATTAATGCATAAATACTTCAGTGGGGAATATAACTTTTTTTTCTTACATTGTCACCATATAATGAGAAAAGTTTTCAATTAACAATAATCGTGCCTCAGATAAACCTCATTCGTTATGATACTGCCACTGTGCAAAGCTATCACCATGTAATGGTATAGTGAACAAAATTAATAATGTCCAGAAAGCAAGCTATGAGATAGAGGGTTCGCACTTCCAGCTCCCTCCCAACTTTTCACTGGACTCATGGTTGTTTCCATTGTTTGCTGTGTAGACTGTGCTGTGTGACCATCATGACCTCAGACTCCCTCTTGTCTCCGCAGCCCCGCCACCTGCTTTCTGCCTGGACCCTCCCTACACGGGTCCCTGCAAGGCTCTGTTTCCCAGATTCTTCTTCAATGCCACCTCCAGGCTCTGTGAGAAATTTGTATATGGTGGCTGCAGAGCGAAGCAGAACAACTTCCAGAACAAGGAGCAGTGTGTCCAGACTTGTGGTAAAGCTGGGAACTCTGAAAGGGAAGGCTTGGGGGAAGGAGAGGAGTGTAGGGTTCCCACACACCTCCCAGCTGCACAGTGACTCTGAGGTTGAGGCTCTCTTGACTTCAGGGATGAAGTGGCAGGTGTCTTATGAACCCACAGACTGAGCACAAGCTCTTCTTGGAGCTCGGTAGGAAGTCACTGTTATAAGTGCCCTTAACATGATCTGAGTGACCTCACCCATGCTCCTTTTCAGAGGGGAACACAGAGGCAGCCACTCTGCACAGCAGACCTGAAATTCTCCTGTGCTTTCACCACTCAGGTTTGGTGAAGTTACTTCATTGCTGTCTGTCCCCTGGCTTCAGGGAGGACTGCAGTTGCTCATTTCTGGGGTGGTCTAGGACAGCGGTGGCAAACCTGTGGCATGTGTGTCACAGTGGGCTGTTTGTATCATTGAAAGCGGTAAGAAGTTTCTGTCACTGGTCTAGGATATGATCATGTGCAAGGTCCAGGTCAAGGATAGGATCAATGAAAATCAGCAAGTATTGTTTTTCTTTTACAGTGATGCTGAAACCTGTGTTGCCTGGACCTGGTAAAGTCCAAGACCCCACCCCCACAATCCCCCATCTGTAACAATTTCCAACAGCAATAAATATTCTTCTAGCATAGTATTCATTCGGCTAAGTTCATCCTTTTCTCAGCAGACCTTGCCTCCTTCTTCTCCCCCAGCTTTACTTATTTCAGCACCATTTAGCCATACACTCTTAAGCACCACAAGAACAAGAACTGTATGTCTTTGTTTTCCTCATCACTTTGTCCCCAGCATGTTCCACAGTTCCTGACAAGGTGGCAATTCATAAATATTTGTGGAATGAATGCGTGCATCTCATCTGCACAGGACTGACTACAGAAGTAGGCTATTGAAGCCAGAACTCTAGGCTATTATCTGAGTAATCATTTCTGATTTCATTTTTCCCAGATCCAATTTTGTTGCCAGTTCAGAGAGTCCAGGTGGTTGAGTATCAGATTGTTCCATCTGGTTTCCCTTTGGGGTTACTGTAGGTGATCCAGAAGTCTGTTTTTGAGGCTTGTTTAGGTGTCTTTTCATTTCCATGGTGGAGGAGGGGTGCTTCTGGCACCCACGCGGCTCACCTTCTCTGCCGTAGGAACGTGGAATGGTGGCGGGGGAGCTTCTGGGACTGGCTCACCTTCTCTGCTCTAGGAGCGTGGAATGGCCAGGAGTTAACTTTCTTGCTGGCTGGGTTGCTAGTTGCCTGCTTCTGCTGAGGTCTCTAAAGGTCTCTGGGCTGCTGATGCTTCTGATGTTTGATGAAGACTCTGGGCTTCTGTGCAAGGATGTCCCTTGGCTTGTTGTCCAGTGTGGTCTCCTAAGGTTGGTGATGTCCTCCTCCTGGCTCACCAGATGTTATAGTTGAATAGTCCCATAATAGTTCTGGTTCTTGTGTACAAGAAGGTAAGAATTGCCAAGCATAACCCAGTGGTAAGTAGTAAGCAGCTACATTTATTGAAGATTACAGGAAGTTGTGCTCAGGGCTACTCCATGCCAAAAAAGGTATAACACAAGTCATGAAAGTTGCTGGCGTGACCAAAAAGCACTGCACACAAGTCAAAAGTAGCAATAGCAACAGAAAAAGGGGCTGATAACTCAGGCTTCAGAATTTAAAGGCCAGACATTTCTGTTTTAGGTGCTTCCCACTGAACCTCCAGGTGTGATTGCCAGTGTGCTGAGTCATCTTGTGGCTCTTAGGACACATGCTCATCCCAGAATTCACTGATCTTAATTATATTTATGAGATGTAGTGCATAATTGTGAAACCGTGATGAGGTGGAAGTAAGGTAAAGATGACCAGAATGTCGCACTTGGATATCCAACATTCATATTCTCTTGACTAGGGTATCAGTGATCTAAGCTTTTGTTATCTTATTTTCTATGTCTCTGAGGGCAATGGAAGCAGGAATAACCATAGTGTGCTAGTTTGCATTGAATGGAGAAAAAGGAGTGAGTTCTCAGCTTTATTGCTTCTAACTGCACTCTTTATCATTAAAGCTTTTTTTAAAAATTACTTTTTGCAGCAAGTCAGATTCTGAGGCAGGTTGTGGCTGTGACTGTAGATCAAGCTACTGCATCCAGGTTCTCCTGGACTACAGAAGGAGAAAGGAGGGAGTAAGAGTCATAAGGACCCCTTCCTTGAGGTCATGTGTGTTCATGAAGACAGGAGAAGAAGTGTGGAGCTGGACTTTTTCAGTTATAAAAAGAAAAGATACTCAAGTATTCAGCACTTCCTGTGTACCAGGCTCCACACTTAGCATTTTACACATGTTATTTTGTTTAGTCTTTCATTTCCTGAGACTTCTGTGAGGGAGGGTGGATTATTGTGTCCATTGTACAGGGTTAGAGGTAGGGGCATGGACATGTCATGTAACTGATATACTTGTTTTCTGGGACAGCCATACAGAGGACTGACTAGAAACTAAGGGGCTTAAACAAGAAGAATTTGTTCCCTCACAGTTTTAGAGGCCAGAAGTCAGAAATCAGGGTGTTGACTGGGCCATGCACCTTCCAAAAGTCCCAAGAAAGAATATGTTTCAGGCCTTTTTCCTAGCTTCTGGAAGTTCCTTGGCTCAAGGCAACATAACTCCAATCTTTGCATGATGTGAAGAGCTATTGTCTATTTTCCCCTTCTAATAAGGACACCAGTCACATTAGATTATGGTCCACCCTTTCGATTTCATCCTAACTTGATTCTTCTTAAGAAGCTCATTTCCAAACAAGGTCACATTCTGTGGTAGTAGAAGTTAGATGACTGGGCTCTCTTTTTTTTGGTACTGGGGATTGAACTCAGGACATTGCATTTGCAAGGCAGGTGCGGTGCCACCGAGGTAAATCCCCGGCCAACTGGGTCCTCTTTTAAGGAACTCAATTCAACCCATGGCAGCTGATAAGTGCAGAACCCAGGGCCTCCCTCCTAGGGCAAAAGGAAGACTGTAGAAGCTGAGAATCCACATTCTCTGGTGAGGTGGCAAGCATCCCAATCCCAGATCTGTCTTCTGGGGCTCCTAGGAAGCAGAGAGCAGGAATTTAATAAGTCAGTTGTTGGTGAGGAGAAAGGGAAGAAGATACAGTCAACTGACATGGAGTAAACCACTCCCCTGTTACTGAGGCTTATCCTCATGGGAGTGTGGTAGGACACACCTGTCTGAACCAGTTTTCCTGTCTGTGACCCAGTTTTCCTGTAATGATATCTACCCAAGAAATTTATGTACTTGGGACTGCATTGATTATGGTGCTGGAGTTCTTGGAACACTAAACTTTAAACCAGCTTAACTAAAACTCTATGTAGATAAATTTAATTTCCTTGGTTCCTGACTGCTTTCCCAAAGTATTGTATATTGCACCAAAGAAAGAAACAAGTAGCATTACTAAAGAGTCACCTCCTATCCCAGAAAATTTCCCTGGTGTCCTGGAAGTGCTACAGTTTCTCTTCTAAATGGGCCCCAGAATTCCTCAGAGAGATGCTAAAACCCTCTTGCTTCAAAGAGAGCTTTACCTGGGTAAGGCCACCTGCAAAAACCGCCCATTCTATTTTGTCTTTTTTTTTTTTTTGGTACTGGGAATCAAACTCAGGACTTTTCACTTCTGAGGCAGGCGGCAGCACCACTGAGCTAAATCCCCGGCCCTCCATCTTGTCTTTTATTTGATTCTTTGTCTTCACCAAGTTGCCATGGAGAGACCAATCTTGTGGGGATTGAAGAGTCCTCTTCTTCAGCCCTAAAAAGTCATGATAGAACGGCCAGGGATTTAGCTCAGTGGTTCCATCCCCTGCCCTGCAAGCACAAGGACCTGTTTGATCCCCGGTACCAAAAAACAAACAAAAAGTCTGATAGATTAGATAATTAATATTTTATCAATGTCAAAGTCAATTAAGTTGATAAATTTGATGTGATTGTATAAAAGCACTTCCTGCTTGTTAAGAAATAATCAGACCAGGTGTAAGGTGCATGCCTGCTACCTGAGCGCTCTGGGAGACTAGGGCAGAACGATTACAAATGAATATAATATCTACAGAGTGTTCTGCCCAACCACCACAGATTATGAATTATCCAAATTAGACCACATACTAGCCCAAAAAGCATTCTTACGGAAATGCAAAAGGGTCAAAATTACCCCATGCATATTATGAGATCACAGTGCAATGAAACTATGAATCAATGGCAAAAGAAACCACAGAAATTATGCAAATGCACAGAAATTAAACAATATACTCTTGAATAATCAATGGGTCACCAAAGAAATCAAGGAAGAAATGAAACAGTTCCAAGAGTTAAAGAATAATATCAGTAAAACATACTAGAAATTATGGGACACAATAAAAGCACTCCTCAGAGGGAAGTTTACAGCTGTGAGTGGTCACATCAGAAAAAGAGCAAGCCCCAATGTGTACCCTAATAATGCACCTCCAAGTCTTGGAAAAGAAGAATGATGCAATTCCAAAGCTAGTACAAGGAAAGAAATAATAAAAATCAGAGCAGAAATTAGTGAAATTGAGACTCAAAAAGCAATACAATGAATTGAAGAGAGGGTTGAAAGAACAAACAAAATAGACAAACCTTTAGCCAATCTTACCAAAAGAAGGAAAGAAAAGACCCAAATCAATGCAATTTTAAAAGTCAGACATTGCTGAAACCCAGATTATTGGTAACTATTTTGAGAACCTGTATGTGTTAGTTACTTTTCTCTCATTCCTGAGACAAAATACCTAAAACCCTAAATGAAAGAGGGAAAGGTTTATTTGGCTTACAGTTCAAAGACGTTTCAGTCCATAATCGGCTGGCTCCAAGGCAAGGTGCCAGAGGGGCAACAATTCATGGCAGTGGAAGACAGCAAAAGCAACAAGGGACCTTAACAGCACCTTCCTGCCCCTTTAGCCCATCCAGACTACCAGTATTAGGGTGCTGCCAAACCAAGTACTTATGTGTAGTGGTTTAGTAAACACACGCCCTTAATCCCAGCATCACACCTTCTGGATTCAGCCACATCTGAAAAAAAAAGCCCCACCTCATCCACACGAGGCTTTGGGGGACATCTAAACACAAGCCATAACACTGCACTCTGATAAACTGGAGAATTCAGAAGAAATGGATAAATTCCGAGATATATATGAATTACCAAAACTGAGCAAAGAAGATATAAAGTTATTAAGAAGATTCCTCAAAAAACTAAAACTGGAAATTCCATTTGACACAGCTATTCCCCTTCTAGGAACCTTCCCAAAAGGATTAAAGACATCATACTGCATTATGCATTCATAACCATATTTATAACAGCACAGCTCATAATAACTAAATTTTGGAAGCAGCCTATATGCCCATCAACAGATGAGCAGATAAAGAAAATGTGGGATCTAGAAGGACTGGACCCAAAACAGACAGACACGTGGTTCAATGGAACAGATTCAAGGATGCAGAAACAACTCCAGGCATAGACATCAACTACTTGATCTTTCCATTTTTGATGTCTTGCCATACAAAGGTATAACCCTGAGTCATTTGTAGGACAATGGATGCATCCTGAGATCATAATTAGGAAAAATAAATCCGACACAAAAACTTAAATATCACATTGTTTTTCTTTTATGAGAAACCCAAAATA